TCCCATTCTCTTCTTCCTTCAAAATGTCAGTAAGTGTCAAACACAAATGCATTTAAGTGACCTGGTTATATTTCCACTGAGGCCTGGAAAGTGGGCACAATACTGGGTGTGCATTGCTTTCTGTTGTCTTTGCATAGTTGTTGCCTAATTGCTGCTTTATGGATGAGGAAAAGCAGCTCTGGACTCTTACAGGGATTTTTTTCCTGTTTTTTCCCACCCAGGGAAAGCTGCTAGGGCACAGGCTTGTGTCAAAATGAATAACTTAGAATTCCAGGAGGCTGGCTATTATCTAGGCTTTGAATTAGATTTATAGCCTTCATGTACTCATTAAATTTCAAATCTCAAAGTAGAAATAATCTACAGAAGTTTTTTTAAAGAAATACACCCCCCAAAAATCTCTGTTTAAGAAGGGATATTGAAATAGTGAGAAAAAATATGAAAGTAGAGTCTCAATAGGGTGTCTCTCTTACCAAGTTCTTAGAGGCATCCTATCATTTCAAAATGTTTGGAAAACACATACCCTGTGCTTTCATCATTTTCGATCACAATGGGTCTTCTTTTTCTCCTTGGGTCGGGCCCACGCTGTTCTTCCTTGATTCCATGTTGAGCTATTTCATCTCAAGTTTGATTAAGCACATTATATGTATAAAAAATAACATATGCATATACAAGAAAGCCTCGCTATTCATGGGTTTGGCATTCACAGGTTCAAATATTCGCGGTGCGCCGAATGTTCTCTGCGCAGTGTGATATCACCTTGTTACAGCCCCGGCGGCATCTGCAGGAGCTCCGCGCTTGCTGCCACCGCCGGGCTCCCACCGCTACCAGCACAGCAATATATTCTCAAGCCACTAGTCCAAAATTAGGTACCCAAATCTCTCACATGCAACAGAAGCATACTGAGCACTATACTAATCTGTCTGTGATTTTGACCAGAAATTTTACACCCAAGGTGGCATGCTCCCAGGGAGAATTTCAGTTTCAATGGACCAGGACTCGCTTAGGAAGAAAAAGCCATGCCCTCAAAAATGTGTAGTCAGTTCTTCTTAAAACACTTTGAAGCACCTTGCAGCCTTTCAGCTGAGTCTATATCAGCGTAGACAGAAGTGCTGCTTCCCACTGTAACTGCAAACACTTTGCAGGAAATGTTTTGAGTTACAAGGATCCCTGGACTAAACACAAGTTCACTGTTAGTTCCAGGGGGGGTGAAATATAGCTGTAGCCTGCAGCCAGCTTCCCCTAGCAATGGTCCCTCTACCCCAAGAGCTCACTCTGGGGGTTCCCCAGCCAGTGCTGGTGGGTGGGTGAACTGAAGTCCCCTCCCACCTTGCAGGGTGCGGGGGCTCCTATACACCTGCCCCACCCTCCACTGGGGGCTGAAAAACCCCCAGACTGAACTTCCTCCACTTCCCTTTCCCTTTTCAAAACAGTTACAGGCTGAAAGGCAGCACAAACAGAAGTTACACAGAAAACACTCTGTTTTGAAACATCTTCATCTGACCCCTCATGCAATGACCATTTTCTATGTCCAGATTGTCCAAAAATGTTCACTTCCATCTGCAACCAATGTACTCAGATGTTGATACCTATTGGTTTATCTTTACAGCCAGCTTTTGAGGTCCTAGTCACCTTGCCAAATCCAGTAATCCTACTGAGGTAATAGAATTGAAAAGAGCAATAACAAAAGGCAGAAACAAACAGGACAACTACTTATTTAGGTCTTTGATGCCACTGCAAAACTCTAGATCATAAACATAGTGAGCACAATGAACGCTGCCCCTTTTCCTATACCTGGAGGAAACATCTAGATTATCGTAAAATGTCCATCAGGGAGTCAGAGCAGATCAGAAATGCTGGGAAAATGTAGACCATACAGGATCTTTTAGAAAAAGTAAATGTTGAGGGGTGGGGAAGTGGCATCTGCATGTTTTGACCACTTAGAAAATGGCTGATTTAAATTTCAGTTGATCAATTTTGGGAGGGGCATTTGTCATCTAATTCAATTAACCTCCTCCCCTGCCTAACGAACTTCCCCATTAACATATATCCTTTACAGGAAAAGTCTAATTCAGGAAACAGCCCTGAAATGTAGCTGGACGGAAAATAAAATCTAACCTAATAGTGATCACCAGTATTGATCTGTTGTATGATTGGAGGATAGGTTGCTTCATACAAGGATGATAATTTGCCATTACAAATAAAAGAGAGAGAGAGAGAGAACGCGAGAGTGAGAGTGAGAGCAAGAGCAAGATCCATGCTGAAGTATACTTTGCCTCTCCCATTTAACATGTAATTGCTTTTATTGACAATCCTTTCTTCTAACTTCCCTGGAGTAGTGAGGTTATTAAGCAAATCTGTCTTTTTCATACAAAGTGATAATTTAACTGATTAAAACAGTTTCATTGTCAATATACTTTCATATGAAATTCTAAACCAGCTTGCCACATTGGGATTTTATTTCTTTATGTAAAGAGATCTTAGATTGTGTAATGACATAGATTGTAGTATTGGCTTCCTTTATCTCTCAGGTTTTGTAGAACTATCATAATAGCTTTCGGTAAAAAAAACCCCAAAAGAAACAAAAAACAACAAATCTCTTTAGAAAATTACAGTGGTTGCCACTGAAATGTCAACATTTTCTTTTCTATAATAAATGCAATGCTCCAATATTCATTTTGTTTTCTTGTATATCATTATTATTGTAAAAACTATACAAAACACACTCGGAAAAATGACCCCAATCTTAAAGAATTTCAACAATGGGGTGAGTAACAGTGCTACAAAGAAATGAGGTGACATCAGGATCATATGGTAGGTGAGTAAAAGTCTCTAATCCACATCTTCAGGTTTCCAGTCTCATGCTCTATCCATTTAACCACATTGGATCTCGGCTATTGTAGTTAGACAGTAAGCTAAGTTAGCTGTAGATAGACAGCTTTTGTATTTTTTGTAGTTAACAGGGAAGTGAGTAAGTTTTAATGGTGCTCACTTGGTGTTCTAAATGAATTCTTTTTACATGAGACTGTAAATCCAGACCATTCACAAATTGTTTTTGAATGGTAATTGTATTTGGTGTCCAATGTTCCGCCCCCCCAGTGTACATATTTGACTCAAGAAATAAAGTCTGTATTCTGAATTAGTACAAACGTTAAAAGTGCATGTGCAAGAAAGACCATTTTTGAAAAACCCTGGCATCATTTTTCTTAACTTTGTATTTGGTGTTGAGTATTCAGATTGCTAGGGTTGGTATTTTAAATCACCAGCGCTCCATTATTAGACTTGGATGTCATCAAAATAATAGTACTGCTAGAGATACATCCCTGAAAAAAAAAATAACCAAACAAAAACAACTAAGCACCAGGAAAAACAGTGTTTGGGTGGCATTGCTCCTACATAGTACCTGTGGGAAGGAAGATGAAACTCAAGGCTATGACACTGACAATGTGATATTAAATCCTGGCTCTGCTACTAATTTCCTGTGTGACCTTAGCAAGTCAGTTCAATTTTGACTCAGTTTCCTTATCTGTAAAAACAGAGATACAATATTTCTCTTCCTTTCTGGAAGTGCTTATAACTTGCTATATGTTTTTTGCCATGATCAACACTTTCGGAGTAGAAAGAGTAGTATCGTGGAATAGCATTGATAGGTCTACTGGTAGGTCTATTAGGAAGTGTATAGCATTCTGTAGGAATCCCTGGGTGCAGGCACATAAATGTTATTTCTGCCCTTGCCCATCTTTTCCTCAATCTAGAAGAATAGGTATACATATATCATTCTACTGTAATAATATTTTCCTTGAAAAAGTGTCTTATGGAACATAAGTTCAGAGGAAAACCAGATGAGAATGTTTGTCAAACTCTTTCAGTGCCTTGGGCTATAGCAAGCTGTGAAAAAAAATATTTTGGCTAATATAATTGGCTTGAGACTTTTTTCCTACTACATTTCAGCTATCTTTCAGATAACAGAAACAACAATACAGCACCAGGCAATTATAGGACTCTTGAAAGTTAGTAATTTGAAGTGCTGTTTAAATATAATTTTTTTAAATAAAAAAATCCTGAGTTGTATAATAATTCATAAGCAGAATAGGAAGCCTCTGGTATTAATCAACTATGGAGATGACTTGAGAAATGAATAATTGGTTGCTGGGGTGATTCATAGCAATTACCAAGAACACCAGGGCAATTTTACAAAAACCCTCCAGACAAATATAAATATGTATGCACATTTCCCCCCATTTTTCCTACTTTGCATCATAGCCAGATATAGTATTCTCCAAGTCAAATTCAGAGCTCTATCCATTTTTTTTCCTATAAAAGTTTTTAATAGTAAAGAGGTTTTAACTAAGGTCTAAAACAAGTCTTTTAGGTTCCCATTTCATGATTTTGGAATAAGCCCTTCCTCATTTGCAACATGCTGACTCTCCTTTGAGTCAATAGACACATGATTGGATAGTGTTAGCAATTTCTTGAGATGTATGCACCTCATTCTCCTTTCCCGGTTGAAAACAACAGTAAAGGCAAGGGTGATTTGATTATGCTCCAGTAAGGATCATGAGCCCCTCAAGTCTTTTTATATGCCTTTGAATGTACATCAGGAAATTAAATATAATTTTAATGGCATTATATCAGGTGCTGTCCCTAACTATTTAGGGAGCTGAATATCAGCTATTTAAAATGCACACTCAAGAAAGCAACTCTCTGTTCCTTTTACATGTGTCTTACAACCTGAGCTACTATTTAAACTACACAGATCCTCTTTAAGCCCCTACTAAAAAGATGTCCCTATTTTAGCAACAGCAACTTTCCTCCAAACTCCTTCCTTTGTAAATACTTGATTTTCTTGAAGGCACAGCCATTTTCTTATAGAAACTTCCTCCTCCCCCCAGCCTTCCTTTCAGTCCCTTTAAATTTGGTTGAGTCAAACAGCTGTAACTCTAGAATGGCCATTTTGTAGGTGGTAGCTGTGTTGTTTGCTAGATCTTTGTGCCCTTTAGCTGATAAGTGCTCTTAAATCCTACTTGTATTTTCCTCTGATACTCCTTTCTTAATTCCCCTGAAAATGCTACTCTCCCTATCCCAAACACATGCTTCACAGCTTCTCTCACAATAGTTCTAGTAGCTTTGGGATTCCTTCTTTGTTGAGGTAAGGCATTAGTTTTAGAAGAAAACTTTAAAAAGGGTAGGCAGATTAAACACTCTAAATATGTTTTATTTTGCATAGAAGCAGTTGTGCCTCTGATTGTTTTAACTCCAGTCATTAGTTTCCTGTAAATTGTTTTAATCCAATTCAGAAAACATTCTCTGAACTTCAACATGTATATGCTTACGCTCTTGGAAAGATCTCTTTCTTTATCTGCATATATCTCATGTTCCACGTGTAATGGCTTGCTGTATTCATTAGATAGTGGGGACCATCTGTTTAAAAATTTGCCCGGAACAAATCCAGTTTGAGCAAGATAGAGGCATAACTGTGTCTTTCTCCAAACCGGCGTTTCCAGATTTTGGGGAAAGGTCTGAATTAAATGTACGTTGGATTTGCCCCTTGTTTTTAGCAGGCCGAAACTGGGTTAATTAAAATCTAAAGACATGATTCCTTTTTATCTCTAAAGGATATTTATGAATCTCTTATGAAATTGGAAGTAATGTATCACTGATGTCCTATGAAAGTCAGTAGTTTATCTATTTGGCCATTGTCTTTCTATAGGTATTACTGCTTGTAGGGTACCTTTTATTGTTTATTGCTCATGGGGGTTATCTGAGTCTTGTCTTTGATAATGCTGGACGCTCTATTTCATCTTTAAAAAAAAGAGGATAATTTCTATATCTGAAGCATATAATTCAGTAGGAAAAAAAATCATTCCTTTTTTTTTTCTCTTTTTGCAAAACTCTTCTTGTAATCTGGGAAATGAAATCATCTGCTGCCAGCATTGTTCTTTGTTACCCTTTGGCATAGGAGCACATTGCCTTGTGAAACTGTTTAACTACTCATGAATGCTGAATTATATGTACATGTAGGAGAGGAAAATAAAAGTTTTCAACAGATAAGAAAATTGTTGGCCAAATTTTAGGACTAATAATAATACATTTATTGATTTAGTATTTGCAACCATGTGCAAGAGTGAAATCCACCTTTTGGGTACATGACATAAAAGTTATTGTCCCACAAGATTTAGCCCTGCATTTTAGAACAAGCAATAGGCTGCTTTTCAAATACATTTGAAGGCTGACTAGGGTTTATAGCAAAGTGGCAGTTCAGATAAATACACAATTCTCAGATTGGGCACCACTTTAGAAGTCATCAAAGCAATTTTGAAACCAATTCAATAGTTAGCAGAAAGCCATTGTGATTTCTCCAGGACTGGAGTAACATAAAGTCCTTCTATTTGTGTGTCAAAATTTCAGAAGCAGCAGAGCTACTTTACCAAAGCATGATCACCCCCAAAATATATCGTTGTAGGGAGTCTAGCAAACAAAACAATTCCTCCCATAGCTCATCCACATAATGGTAGCAGCAAGGGGATACTGGTAAAGCTTGACTAAGCATGTATGGATCTCTTGGTGGCAAATTGATTTGTATTTATGACTGTACATACAGCAGGCTAAAATGGGGAAAGCTAGCTATAGATGTGAGGAAAATCATCTGCCTGCTAAGGTGGGGAGCATTTAACCACCAGTAGTCCCCCTCATGGTCTCTGTAGGAAACTCTGCTATGTAACACAGCTTGAGCAAAATGTTTGCTTGCATGTGTGGGAAAGGCTCAGATTGGATGTGTAGGACACCAGAATAAATGTGGAGCAGACACTGAGCTAAATGTGGAACAGACATACAGTATGCCAAACAGCGTGCAGTACTAAAGTTTTTTTTTTCTGGATCTAAGATAAAGCTCACTTATGTCCATAGCTTCAGCCTAGATCAGACCACGTGTACACTGAGCATGTGTTGGCTCGTCTTGCTTTTATCTGAAGCAGCATCCAAAAGTCACTGCCCTATTCTCTCCCTCCAAGGCCACATTCTGTTGCATTATTCAAATAATAAATCCAAAGTAGTTTTGCCAGAATACCAATGTATCCTCACAAAAATTGCCAGGAGAACTCAGATTAGGATCTGTCTTTAAAATCTTATGTACCTCCTTTGACACTCAGAACAGTGCACTGAAACATCAGAATTGGTTCCCAAGATAAGAAAAATGGCTGTGCAATTGAAATGCAAAGAATTATTTCTAGCTCTGTTAGTTCAACTAAAAATAAAAATAGATATGATGGGATGGGGGGGGGCTTGATCCCAGCTGAGGTTAAGTCACATAGCTACTTACATGCTTTTATAGCAGCTGAAGGCCAGCACAGAGAGCTGCTTGCTTAGTACTGAACTCTGCAGTGAATGAGGAGCTGGTGGAGTTTCCGGTGGGAGTTAGTTTTCACAGAATGGCATGTTGCCTGCCGATAAAAGTAGCATTACTCTAACCTAAGTCACAGCACAGTAAATCACACTGTGTAAGGTATATCCCAAGGGTTCATTCTTCCCCCTTAGATATGCCTGAACACGTGAATGCAGTAATTTTATAAGGGATGATGCACCCAGTAAGAAAGACCTTGACAACTTCAAATAGCCTCCAAATGGAATTACTTGAGCACTGAAAACAAATGGTGAGTCCACTCCAAAAGCCTTGTTAACCTTCATTATGTTCATGAGCCTCATTAGTTGTTGTATAGGGGGATGTTCCTGTGAACAGGTTGCAAATATTTGGAGCACGGATGTTCTTTCTACAAATACATTTAATTTCACCTGAATAAGGATCCTACCTGTTGCTGATTTGGTTATTTTCCTTCTAAGGTGGCGGGGAACAAAAACAATATGTGTGACCAGTTGCATGCTATGAACAAGGGACACTTAGCAATCAAAGTGAACAGGTTGAAACAGTCGTACACAGAATGCTTCTCCTAACTATTCATTGAACAGCTATTAATAATGAATCCATTTACAGCAATCAGGATCAAATCAAAACAATTCATGAGCAGAAAAAGAGTGTGGCTTATTGCATAATTCATTAGCAATACTTTGTTCCATGAACACTTAACAGTATGTGTTAACTATTTAAGCTGATGCACAAACTATTAGATTTAGGCCCTGATCCAGCAATTGGGCTCTGTTTAGGCGGAGTTGCATGGACAAGGCTAGAGCTACAGCAGTCACAACTACAGCTACAGCAGTCACAATGACAACAGTAACCCTGGGATAGCTCCATATCCCAGCAAGGCTCAGTTACACTGCCCTTATACCAGACCTTCAGCTTCAGTGAGGGAATCACTACTAGCCTCCAGGTGGCTTTGGGTTTAGGAGAAAGTATAAGTCCCCCTCTCCATAGAGAGTCAGCCTGGAATATCACTTGCCCAGAAGTCAACCTTTCCACAGACCATCAGTAAGGAGGCAAAAGGATTTATTATAAAAACCGAAGAAGCATGAGAAATTAGTAGCCATATGTTGAGATACAGACAGATATAAGCTCAAGCAAAGCTTACACCAGAGCATTAACCCATTCTTGCCCTGTACCTTAAATCCAAGGATGTAGATCTTAGCTAGCTAAATGCAGCTCCTGCCTCTGACCCCACACATTATGGCTTTCTCCATCTCCTTGTCAGCTTGTTTTTCCCAGCTACCTTACCTAGGGGTCCTCATCCCCTCTTCTAGCTGTGAAAACTGAAAATAAAGCTATGCTCTAGGCAGTCTTAAGTACCCTTGCCAGTCTGCCTATTAACCTACATCCCCACCCTTCATTTCTAGGGGAGCTCACACTATTCCAGTAATTTCTTGTCGCTGGAGGTGCATATTTACCTGACTACAAATATGCATCCTTTTTAGACATGTAGCCTGACTAATCCAATATTTGTCTCTTCTATATGATAATTTGACTAGCCACATGACAGCTTCTGTGTTGTAGTTTTTTAATGCCAATGTATCATTTTCTGGTCAGATCCAATCAACCTGGGCCTCCTAGCAGGTCTGCAGGGAGCACCAGGAAATAACCCAAGTCAAATGCTAATTTTCAGCCATTGTCTCTTCTAAGTGTGGACGGTTGAAGGCTACTCAAATTAATGACTGCCTTAATGATGCAACCGTGTCTGAAATATACTGTCTGAATATACAAACTTGTCTGAAAATACATCAAAATTACATGTATATCAATTCCTATAACACATACGGTTATGAGAACCATAAAACTGAACACAGCTTTGCATTAGCTACAAAAGGCTAAACACCACCAGTGTAAACCTAATTTGAGAGAATCCATACCACATTGTGAACCTTCAAAAGCAAATTGGGGTGAATCCATAGCCCGGGACTTCCAGCCTTTAGAATAGGTTGCTAATATCTGACAGCTGCTGGAATCATGACTTTACATAAGAAAAATAATACCTGTCTAGCCTTCATTTGTAGCAGGGGAAGGTTTGCAAATGTGAAACTAGTTCCCCCTATAAGTTATCAGGAAATCAAAGGACTTGCTAAAAATCATACATTTGCTATTTAAGGAAGAAAATCTCCCAAGCCAAGCTCAGGATTTTGAGGCCTGGACTCATGATTTTTATTTTTTTTTTAATCAGGTTTGACTATGTCAGGGATTGTCAACTGGGGGTATGTATACCTCTGGGGGTACTTGGGATGTCCTCAGGTGGTACTCAACAGTGGACAGCACCACCAGCACTTCTGCCGCTGCAGTACCGCTGGCATGCTCGTCGATCGGCCGCGGGGACCCCCACCTCCACTCACTGTCAACTGGCTGCCAGGGAACTCCTTCCTTCTCGGCCAGCCACCAGGGGTACATTGACCCAAAAAGGTTAAAAACCTCTGGACTATGTCAATTCTAAGCGTGCCACTAAATGTTATAAAAGCTTACAACAGCCCATAACTCTGGAATGAGGGGGGAAAAAACCTTACTGAGGAACAGTAACCTGAAACAGTTCAATAGGGTATAAAAGAGCCTGGCTGTGCAAAAGCTTCATGTGACCAGCAATTGCAGAACTGATTGATTGTTTTTCCTGTAGGTTGGAAATGAGATGGAGAAAAGGCTTGAATAATACACGGGCACTCTTTGTAGCATGACTTACAAATCTCCCTCAGCATCCTACCTTGTTTTTCAGTTTACGTCAGGGTCAGAGAGCACAGCGAGTGCTGCCTTGGAGTACACAAAGTTGTAAAAGCATGAACTAAAGCTTTTATTGATTGTTTGGTCAAACAAGGCTAGATATGACTTGCGCTTCTTCAGTGATACATGATAATTGTAGAGATAAATCTTCTGTGATATGATATGAGCGTCAGGTACCCAGGCCATGAAGAAAACCTATAGCAATATTTTTTTTGCTATATTCTCATACCAAAACCAAGAGTAAAGATACACTGATATGATAATAGGTATTATTTATTTCCTGACAAACTGGATTTAATCCAGTTAATATGGCACATACCAGTGCATAAGTGCAAATCACTTTCAAATTGTTGTCTCTTTGTGCTATGGAGTGTTTTGTAGCTCTTTTCTTCCTGGAAATAAATTTCTAAATGTTACTGGGTATGAACTGATATTGTTGGTCTGTCTGAGCCTGTGGACAGCCAAGAACAATAGCTCTCAAGTGCTCCCAGACATGGCAATGGCAATGTCATGGTCACACTGATGTATGATTACAGTGTAGTCAAAGAGTGAGGTTGTAGTCATGATGGGCCAGAAATTATGCAACAGGAGGATTTCTTAGGCTGAAATCTTCTATTGGACCAACTATGTAGCTGGGATAAAGTTATACAAGCTTTTGAATGCATCACATTCTTCCTCAGGTCTTCCTCTTGCATTTAAAAGCTTATCCCAACTACATTCTTGGTCCAATAAACGATATCAGCCTAAGAAATCATTGCTTCTAGCAAAATATATATATATATATATCAATGTTAATGATTGCTGGTCACTTAACACAATCATCAGACTGGTCACTTAACGCAATCCTCAGACTAGTGCATTTCTTTGTCACTGCCTCATAGGATTATTTTTAGTTGTTTCATGTGCTGTTCTGCATGGCAAATAACTGCACAAGAGATTTGTTACCTTCAGATCCATATGCTATATCCCTTTTCTTCAAAACTTGCTTTATATGAGTACTGAATAGATTCATAGATGCTAGGCTCGGAAGGGACCTCAACAGAAATCAAGTGTGATTTATTTCTCACAGATGAGAGGCTGGACATTCAAAAACAATGCTTAGATCAAATAGAAAAGCTAACTGCATTGAGGATGCTTCGAAGGTCAGAGTGTGACCTAAAAGCTACTGAACAAATTTATGTGAAAAACATGCAATGCTGTGTATGACTCAAAGTCTCTAGAACAGATTTCTGCCTGAAACCTACATGGAGTTATGGGATTACTGTGACACAACCTCCACAGAGATTAGAGATATCAGAAAGGCTTGAGGCAGAGTCATAAATGGATTGGAATAGGAATATTCCTCTCCATAAAAAAAAAAACTGAGTAAAAACAAGGCATCCAGGAGAGAAATGCTGTCCAGCCACAAAAGCCATCAGCAGACCCAGAGGCAGTGTGAAAGCTGCCAATGCAATTGTCAGAAACGTCTGCCAGGGAGTCAGATGTTGCCGTTGTAGAAATATTTTCTGAAGCTTGGCATCTGGGTCGAGCAGTCACTATACAAAGAGGAATATAGTTCAGTGAACCCAGTTGCATCATAGCAGGAAAGTTTTTGGAGGTTTTTCAACTCTGAATAGCTGGGGGTGGGGTTTGAAGGGGGAAGAGGGATTTGATCCCCGCCCCATAAAACAATCCTATTAACAACACTGCTGAAGGAAATAGCTTGCTGGTTCTGTGTGTCCATATCCATGCCTGAAGCAGCAAAATACTGCAGGAAATCTGTAAGTTCCAACTCAGACTTCTGTCCTGTCATTCAATCAAGACAGCAGTATGTTTTAGAGGAGAATTTGGAAGAGAGATATCCCTGCTTACCCCAAAAGTGTCAAGGGTGTCAGGAATATGAGACACATAAGTGGGTGTCAGGACATATAAGCAGGGACAGGTGAGAAACTCAAACGGACCCCTGAGTCATTCCAACATATGAGAGAGGTTTATTGAGGTCCTCCAGATGGT